CTATTCAACTTTTGATATTCGACTATTCGATGAGATGAGTGTGAGTAGGCTTGTAGAACATTTTAGGTGGACACGTTAGTCGGCTGTGATAGTTGGGGAATATTTAGGTTTCCAAGTTTGCCAGTTCATTGCTAAATATCCTAGTATATTTATACCCTACTCTACACTAGGATATTCAGGACATTTAGGAACTAAAGTTGCAGCAAATGCATTTTCTGCATGATGTCATTCCCTTTTCAACTATGCAAGTTTTCAAGTTTTGATATTCTCTTTTCAACGATTCAACTATTCACGTAAATTTTGTAATATTGAATAACGATATGAACCTATTACTATCCTATATACCTATATACTGCTGCTATATACTATCGGTATATAATGTTAATCAGCGTGACTAATTTATTAAAATTTTCTGTTCCGAATTTCTGTAAGACTTTTTTCTATTTTTATCGAAGTTGTCATTTCGGAATTGAGACCCTTTTTTAATCGAATTAATAATTGTGGATAAAAAAAGTGGTCTGGATTCGAAAGCCTCTCTTAACGATTGATAAAACTTAACAATTCGCATTCGATGGAGACGTAATGTTTCTGATGGTTTATACTTGATTGGGACAGAGTATGTCGGGGTTTAGGAATTTTCTTTAAATATGTGCATTCATTATCTCTCTCCAGAAGTTAAAGCGATATAAGAGAAAAAAAGTGAGTAATGCAACAAGAATCTTTATAAATTGATTATTTGATATTTCTCGCTTGGAAAAGAAGTGAAGAATACAGTTTTTTTATCTTTCTGCTCTGCTGTTTTACAACGTATAATGAGACGATACAAAATCATGCGCTAGTCTATTACATTTCTCTTATATTTCAGTTGGTATATCCATCATTGTACTATGATGAAAAAAAGACGATGACCTTGGGGTCATGTTCTCATTAAAATATAGTTCAACAATATGTCTGTATATATTCAGTAGAATAGAGAAGTAGCCGTGAATAGCAGTGACAATTGTTCTACTGTTCAAAGAGACCGTGCACCATATCCGATGACATAAATGAGAATATGCGAACAATACATGGTGTGTCATATTTCGAAACTTTTAGTTCATTCTTATTTTTTGATGAAAATCTCTATGATTTTTCAACGTGAAAATTCGAAAAGGATAAAAGTACTCGTATAGGATAGAGATACATATCAGTCGACTCAGTTTTCGATCCTAATTGCGAATATGATATTTTTATTACACAGAACTTGGCTTTTGGTTGAGAAAATTGAAAACTGGTCAGTTTTTGACACCAAAAATGATTTAAAACGGAGTTTTCAGACAAAACAGGCAAGGATTAAAACAAGTGACTCGGACAATCGATAGAGCTAGAAAAGTTCTATCGAATGATATATCGCGTGATTTGCTTCCATTTGTTCTGACATTAGTAAAATTTACTTTATCCAGTGGAGTGCCACTAATTAGTAATTAAAAAACGATCAGAGATATCGTTTTTAAACTTTTTTGTATGGAATTATATCTACAAACAATTCTCTATAAAACTACATTGCAATCAATTGAATGCAACATTTATATCGAAAACTAGAAAGGTTTTAAAAGATGCCTCTCAAACTAAAAATTTCAATTAATTTTCAATTTAATTAATCATTAACTCTCTCAATACTTGACCAACAAGTTTTTTATTGCATAGACATACCACCAAAGGTGTTCTCTACAAACTGGCTAAGTTTGAGGGCATGTTTGGGGGGCAGGACACGGCCCGTAAAGTGAAAGATTTTGCCTTCCAAGGGGTTATGGATTTTCTACATATCTCAACTCTCCAATGAAATTTTTGAATGAGATTTTTACCACATATGTAAGAAACAATGTAGATTTCATCTGGCATATTATCAGGATCTTTAAAGGATTTTTAGAAACTTCGGAAAAGGAGGTTTTTGTTTGGGTGATGAATGGATTTTGCGTGGATTTGTTTGAGTAATGAATGTTTAACAGTTGTACTCTCATATTTTGGATTGCCAGCACCCTGCTACTCCTATAGTAACGCGAGAAAAGAGCATTATTGACTATAGCGAAAACAGTTGAGTAAATTTCATTTAACGCTTTTCACTTTGCCGCAATAATTTTAGTGTCCGCACAACACGAAACTATCACAATCAGGCGACGTCGATTTAATTTAACAACCACGACAGCAACAGCCACGACTCACAATACTTCATGGATGATTCTTCCACCTTACATAGTATTAATTTCAGACACCGAATTTTGTAAGAAGCACAACTGCACCATTGCAATAGACGATGAACATTGGCGAAACGTAGCAGCGAATTACACACCACAACGCGATATCCTCCTTATCAGTATCTCGATGACACTTTCTGCACTCAAATATCTGAATTCTTACATACACATTGAGAAATAAAGCATGAAAAACATGCAACTACCGCTAATAAACACCAATCATACCGTTTTTTGTTTAAAATAGAAAGAGTATTTTAATAAATTTAACATAAAACAAAGCATCAGACATAGTCAACCTCATTAACTGAAAAGCTGACACTTCGAACCGTTCAATCGATGTAATATAATTTGACCACATGCACCAATTGGCTCATGACGTGTGTATAAAAATGAATCAGGCGCTTAGAAGAGAAAAGAATGCAGATTCTAGAAATAGTATAGACAATAGTATTTTATACACGACTGTAGTGTTTCACCAGCCAGTTTATCAACATAACCCGCATAATAACGTATAATATCGGCGCTATGTGTACATCTCTATAACTATCCATTATTGGTTTGCCACCGTTGAGTGTTTCGAGTTTTCATGATGAATAGAGCAGTGATATCATTGTTAGGCATGCATCGATACAGTTTCTGCCACTATCGATCTGCTTATTTCTTTCCAGTTCTTCTCTCTAGGACTGAGAGCGAGATCATCGGTGTATGTTTAGTCATTCTAGATCATATGAAATTAGACTTGACTTACGGCTACATAATCGATATCGCGTATCAAATATTCAGCAGACTTTGTTAATAATGATGAGCGCGCTGAAGGTTCTAGTTTCATCCATTCAGAGTTGACTTATCATATAGGACGGATACAATTACAAGTATTCGGCTTGTGTTTTAATTTCACACATTAAAAGATGAGAGAAGTGAGAAGAATACAGTCATACAAAGATCTCATGCTACAACGAGTTTCATATAATACACTGAAACGGGCGAAAGAAGATGGGTATCGAAGATTGGCGTTTGTTTCACAAATTTAAAGACAAAAGGAGATACAATATGTAGTGTTTGTTGTTTGTCTTTATTATTGATTTAACTTACTATTAATGATTTTTTCTACAACTGGTACCCATATTGTTTAGCGATTTACCTGATTCTGTTAGCCTCTGTATCAAGCAGTTCATACGCTGAACATATGCATGTCGCCCTATAAACCATTCTCCTTTAATGCAACGAATTCCTACCATATGTTACGACTCCTACTTTTGTTCCTTTTTCCACTTGACAAATTTCCTCGCCTGTGGCTGGGTTGATCACAGAAAATGTCACGTAGGTGAAGTTAGCACCATATTCGAGTAAAACCTTCCCATATTCGTTTAGGAAAATGTGTAAACTGTTCCAGCCCGGTTTCAAGTAGAACTCGACGAGCTCTATCGATTGGTATCCTTGGACTTGCTATAGTCCAAACCATTTCGAAGATAAACCCAAAATACCCATTTTACACTATGTGAATGCTGCTACATGTTTGCTAAAATCTATCCATATTCGTTTAGGAACCTGTTCAAACTGTTCCAGCCCAGTTCCAGGTAAAGCTCGACGAGCTCCATTCAATGATCAGATTCTCTATAACTCAAAGCTGTCTTCAGAAATCGCAAAATACTGATATTTTGGTGCTGGTTGCAACTATATATTAGACTACTATGGGACTTAGAAGTTTTTAACTAATTTGCTGAGATTTTTTTTTCTGAGGTTGTAAAAACAATTTTTGTAAATTTGCTGGAAATAGCGGCCAGTTGGAATATATTTATTTATAAAATTGTACAATTTCTTGTATAATAAAAGGTGAAGAAATCAAACATCTGTTTTACATAAAAAATAGAAGAAAGTTTAGATTTTGGCAAGTTTATTGATCGCGAATGCTTGTAACAACTTCTGGAGACTGCCCAAATTGTCTTGTGACGTTGGTAAGATTGAGGTTGTCGGCTGGTTCATGCTCGTACCAATGTTGACGATCGACGATTGTTGAATTGGTGAATTGTGGCGGCAGCGATAAATTAGATAAAGAACAATAAGAACGACAACTATCAGAACAACACTCAGTGCAACAGAAAGAAAAAGAACCACAGGTCTTGTTGCACTTATTACTCCTTTTTTCGATAGACTATCACTAGTTTTTTCTGTTTCTTTTATATTTTTCTCTTGGATTCTCATTTGCTCTTCTAAGGTAAGAATGAGATTTTTTTGAGATGCAAATGGATATACTTTTGCAAGACCAATATTCAATGTATCATTCGACTCGGTTTTCGGCGCTAACTCCGCATATGAGATTTTTATTGCATAAAAAATGAGTTCTGATGGAGAAAATAGAGAATTACGGGCAGAATTCCGAGTTTTTCTCTTCTGATTCAGAAAGAATGTACTTTCTCAGGAATGAAAGAAATTTTTGAAAACTTTTATTCGCCTTTAAATGCTGATTCGAATGGCGTATGACGATCGGAGAAAAGTTTTAAAACCAGGGAGGAGATAGGTTTGTGGTGAGGTAGCTCATTTTGTCGAGCGCTTACTCTTGTCAAAATTGTACAACACAGGTATTTTGTTTTTTGTGACTCAAAGATACATGAGTAGACTCAGTTTTTGATGATGAATCTGAATATATCAAATTCGAAAAATTACAGTGAACGGCAGGTGGCAAAACCTCAAGTTTTCTCGGAGGGATACAAATCTTTTGTTCTATTGGTGCTCTTAGTATTTTGAGGATTTCTCCCCGAAAACTTAATGGAATTCGAATCAAAAGGTAATACTCGGAATCAGGTCAGCTAGGGCTATCCGACTGTGCAGCTTTCGACCAAAAGTTAAGATAGTGCAGCATTTTTGAATTGCGGGCACCTTACAAAGAAACAACAAGCAATGGACAGATAAAATAGGGCTCAACTTATTGTCTCGTGACTCACTCTCCTGCTGCCATCCTCCCCGCCCCCGCCGCCCAGGAGCTGCAAAAAAGATCTTAGAATAATTCGTAATAATAACTTATGTTAAAAATTCAAAGTGTTAGTTTACACAGATCTGTTTCCTTAGTCTCATACATAGGGTATTACTTTCCAGTCCTCAAGTCGTCAACAATAAAACACATAGAGTAATACCTTCCAGTTCTGACACCGTCATTTATATCATACATAGTGTATTACCTGAATGTTTCGTAGACGTAGAACAGTTAGGATACTATGACAGTTTTGGGTATCATGACATTTGATTCTGGATATCCTAGGGTACTGGGATTATGACACCTCTGGATTTACATGAGAAATAAACATTTTAAGAGACGATAGTAAACACTTAAAAATCTCAGCATGATCACTTAAATAACTCAAGACTCGAAAATTAGTCTTAAATTTGTACAAAAAATAATCTTCTCTTCTTTCTCTTTTCACTTTTAGAACAAGAAGTTGATGGTGAAACTCTTTCGCTAATGAACAATGTGGATAGTATCAAGTCTATCTTTCCCAAGTACAAACAACAACTTTTATTTCTTCGCGAACGGAAAAAATTATTCGATGATTCAGCAACATATGATGAAAACAAAGAAAACGAGAGTGCGAAGCAGCAAACGGTTCTTACATCTAATTCTACTCTTTTTTCCGATGACATACCTATCATTTCATCAACACCAAACAATACACAAATGTCAAATCATATTCAAGAATTATCTATTAGCGAAACATCAACACAGGAAATTGACATTCTCAGTAATCCGAATGTGACAAATGATTCAGTACAAAAGTCTTCACTACCTGAAGATTATCGTTTATCGTCTCTTCCGGCATCGTTACTAAAAGATATTGATAATGGTGATCTATCGAAATTCAATAATCATTGTAAGAATAGACAAATATTGCTCGACACACTATTTTTTGATTTAACGAACAATTACAATATCTGGTACGTGTTAATTCAAATAAGAACGACTCTTTATTTTTTTAAATAACTAACTTTGTCTGTATTTGTTGTAGGTATCCATCTCATCAAGAGTACGACATAATAGTCGACGCGATTTTGAATCTTTTAAAAATCCAAAAGTCTAAAGAGAATATGGTAATTAAGCTTGGGTAATGGAAAATCATTTTTGTCTTTTTTTGTTGTAGATCAAGTGGATTGCCCTAAGTAGTATCATTCAATAAAGAATTAAATTGTGCACTCTGAATTAACGATTTCTATAATTAAATCAAGCAGTATAGGGGATCCGAACACAAAAAGCTCTAATATGGTGTTAACTTTATCTACGTACTATTTGATGAAAATGAATCTTTTGTCAGTGATGTTTACTTTTTGAAGTATATATAACACTCGAATTTAAATCTGAGATTTTCACATTTTTATCTTTATAATCAATAATGCAACTGATAGTGATGAGAAATTCTCTGATGAAGTTAATCTTTTAAGCTGCATCTAAGGGATTCTTCTACTAATCAGTAACGAACAGCTGATTTGTTGTGATGACGGCAAACAAAAGTAGGGAAAGATGTCAAAGAATTCAAGTCAATAGGAGTCCCTGGCAATGATTTGAAATCATCTCTTTGTTTACAATTAATTTTAAATGTTACTTGAAAACGACATTGAAACAAGCATACTATTGCTCGATAGCCAAACATCATTTATATATTTATTTATAGAAGTTTAACACGGTAGAGACAGTCGACGTGAATAATATCACTGTTCGGAAATGATTTGTGCGAGAACAGTAGAATAATCGTCAAGTTCTTGATCGAGCGGATAAAATGTCAAATATATTTTTGCTATTGGTAATTCTGATTCAACTTTTGTCACACGAAAAGTACTTCCAGGTAAAATTAACACTTCTCGTTCGTCTTCGATTTCTGATATTGAAGGTAATTGATCAGATAATTTTTCCAACTGAATTGCTGTCCAACAGTTACTGAAAAAGTCGAATACTATCAATACTGGATTACGTTGATCAAATGCTCGTACTTTGGCAAAATTTTGCGCTACATTAATATCTCGCGTTGCTGAACAAAATGTATTTGTTACCAAATAGCGGCTAGTCTTTTCAGTAGCCCATTGATAATCTTTTAATTCTTCCATTGTCATGCTTAAACCACGATAACAAAGACCTTTAAATGAACGTGGATGAAGAAAACGAAGTGAATAGTAAACTGATGATGCGAGACATTCGCTCGTTTCTTTTTTTGATTGATATGCGTATAGAAAGGTGTTTCAAGTGTGTACAGTCGAATCAATGAATCTGCTCGTCCAGTTTCATAATATTGTTTAGTTAACATCCTTGCTTTGTGATATTGTCTGTTGGTGGAACCGATATGTTGATCAATCAGACTTAATAAGACGTTGCATGTCTTCGATATAAATTTATCATTACCTGGTTTGTAAGGCATTATTTTATCAGAAATACGCATGAATAAACTATCAGGCTGTCGATAGAGTCTATGAGTCTTTTCATTTGCAACAGATCGATAATTTTCATGGCCTTCGACTCGTCCACAAGGAACATTTTTTTTCTCGTCAGATTCCTTGACAGTAAATTGTAACACCATCTCATTACAAAACCGATTCCCATCTGTTCTTGATCGATGAAATAGTTGTCGAATTTCATCGGTTTGAGCCAATTCAAAAGCAGTACGACCTTGACTATCCAATAAATGTCTAAATACGCCATAATCATGTAAAAGAAAACGAACAATTTCTGTGTGACCACATTCTATAGCAATATGTAGAGCTGTACTACCATTAATTTCATGGTAATTTATCATTTCGAAAGACGATGTTGCAACTAATGATTGCACCAAATCAATATCATTCTCCAGACAAGCGTTGTATAGATCACTGAACTTGTTCTTATCATATTCATTGTGATTGATAGTTTTCGAATGTGAAATACCCATCGATAGAAGTATTACGTTTATTCAAGAAAATTTTCAGATAAAGTCAAAGCCGTCATAGTTATAAATATTGAAAATATTTTATTGCATATAAAATACACGTACATCTAGAAGTGGCACGTTACCTTTACTTTACTTAGTAAGGTAAAGATAACGTGACACTCCACGCATGCTTCGAGATAAATTGAATATCAGGAGACGAGGTTATATATGCTTACAAAGTATGCATCTCAGAAGATTCAATTTTATCTTTTAGAAATTCAAGAGGAGAGTTCAAACTAATCGATAATATATCTTATTAAAGACAGCCATCTTCATACTATGTCATTCGAATTTTATACGTTAAATATTTATATTAACTAGAGGAAACTGATCCGTTTATCATGTTGAGTATCCATTCAATCAAATAAATATTTCAAAAAACTATTAAATGAATAAGATGATGTTTTTGTGTTATGCTAGTGAATCTAACACTCGGAATTGCTTGCATGACAGAAAAAGTAATGACAATATTCAAGGTACAAGAACTATCGTTAATGCAAAGTGTTTCACATTATACTACTAACATCAGTCCGACAAGTATTGTCTCACGTTTGCGGGATATTAAGGGAATAAACAAAAGAAATAATCATCCAGTATCATGGAAAAAGAAAGAAAGAGAGTATACTGATAAGAAAACCCAAGCGAAAAAAGAGTAAAAACGGAAGAGCGTGAGAGAAAAAAAAGAATACAGCGTTACATTTTATGATATCAAATAGCTTCAATGAAAAAAACATCCACTTTAAAAAAAAACGATTCACATCGATCTATTAAATATCGCACGCGATGTCTGCGAAAAAATGACCGAGCTGATCGGTTTTTCTTCTATAGAATTCAAGCCAAACGAAGATGTTATTGTAGAGAAGTGACGATCCAAGATCACTTATACGCATAGGTTTTTGAGATTAACAATGAATGATTTAGTCAAGTTTTAGAATACTAAATTTTCTATATAGAAAAAAAGAAGAATAGTGCGACAAACAAAGTTAAGATCAACGCTGACTTGGAATATGAACCATTGTTTCGTTTCTTTGTATTCCTATGTCCTTGAAATAGGTAAAAAATTGTCGATTAATCGCCGATTTTTTTACGATTACTATAACGATTTGGGCGATAAATCGTGATTTTCTAATCTATTTTTGCTCGCTATTCACTGATATTCTGTGCGATTTCATATACGTATATTTAGTTTTTTCTCACTTTCATCAAACTTTATTATTCATTTAGTGTCACAAATATTTGATTAAAAACGTGAACGATTAATGTTAGTTTCCATGAATAAACGACGTGATAAAAACAAAACTAAAAACACAAGATGCAGTTTGACATAGTCAGAAAAAACGGAAAGTCAATAAAAGATGAGAAAAACTCAATAAAATATTCATATGTAGTAATTGATGTTTTCGATTGCGTTTTTCTTCAAATGATTCTACATCTGTTTGTTTTCATCCAGAAATGTAAAACCTATCAAAGACAAAAAAAAATAAAAATTCTAAACGAAAAGTAAAAATCTACGTACGATGATGATAAAAGACGTCATTATACAGAAGAAAATCAAGATTTTCCCATTTTCATAAATCGTAAATAAACTAATCTATCTAAAATTAAATTCATCTGAAACAATCCTAATTGAAAAAACTAATTAAGAAAATCCTGTAAAATTGGTACTAATAGTACACCTGTACTACTACTCCAAACTGTCATCCGACCATTTCGAATTTTTTGTTGATATCCTTTTGTTTTTTTTCGCATTGTTAAACCATCATACAATTGACAAAATAATTGTCGACCAGAGTCTGGTGCCTTGTTAGAAAAAAAAACTCAACTGTTTCAATGCCAGATCAATTTTCTGTTGAATGATCATAATATTGGTTGATTCTTTCAACTATCAAATATAAAACCAACTATGACTAGGAAAATTTTTTTTAACTATTTCCCTTCAAAAAACATACTTGATCCATCAAACTCGCTTCTGTAAATTTGTCAATGATTGAATTAATAGCATTAGTAATATCAGCACTATATGTTCCAACAAATTCATACAATTCTTCCAAGCCTTCGCGACATTCTTGCACTGATCCACTTTTCGTGACTCCTAGAAAAATATGAATTGAATTTATTAATAATATATTACATCGCTCTGGCCAGCCATCTCTGCTACCGGAGTGAAATTCCGTAACGATTTTTTTGCATTTTGTTTTTCTTATAATGTTTGAGTAACGAGACGCCTAGAGATCTAGAATATCACAGATTAAAGAGAAAA